TGACAGTTTAGATCAGTTTGTGAATTTTGGTAGATTTCGTGACAAAAAGACATCAGTTAGAGAGTTACTGAAAACAGTGAAAACACTGGACACCTCGCAATCCATCAACAGGTCGGACTCAGGACCTTATGGCTGAGAGTTCAACCCATTGATGAGTGCTCTGAAGTTCTAAAGAGAAACTGTAGCCGGTAAAATTCGTACCACGTCAGGCTTAGGCGGATGCTCATCAATGAATGGTATTGATTGGCACTTAGGGCTATGTAGGGATTTGACACAAGTTAGAATCCATGGATCATTGAATTTCAAATTAGTGTCTAGACACCAGCCACAGACGGACACCTCTCGAAACCTGAAGGTAGTTTCGGATTCCACCTGTTTCCACATGGAGTTCATCATGAGTGTGTATGGCTGCAGATTTCCAAACGAGGACCAAAACATATCTGTGCCGTACACTATAGTCTTTTTCAACGAAGCCTTTACGTTGAAAAATACCAAAAATTTGCATAAAATAAATCACAGAAAAGGGAATTATTATTAATACTAATATTATTATTCTTGTCATTTTAAATTCGTACATTTTGACCCTACTATTTTAGCTAATGGCAAATATTGCTGTTATCAATTTTGGTTAAATGTATCCTATAATGTATTTTTTCTGTTGCTGTTGGGGTTCAGTGAATTAGATGCAATACTGCACAAAATGCTGAAAATTCCACATTGTATCATAACTACTGTTTTGGAATACAGCAAGTCATTATAAACATCATTAAAATTATGCATTAATTGTTAGTCAGATATCTTTAAAAATTCGATACACAACTATACTGCTCAAGAGATAACAACTATATATTGAGAGAGAATTTTTTTTTTCTTTGTGAATTTTCTCATTTGCAACTTATACGCAGTCCTTATTCAGTCTATCTCAGTCATGTTCATTCAATTTTAACCTCGCCTAGTTAACTAGCTTGTTAGTTTTCTGGCCGGTCTCAAGCTTGGGTGAAGAGGGAAAGTTTGGTGTGGGGGTAAAAACCCCACAGCACTCTGCCTATCAAACTGCTAGCGAAACTTCAACGCACAGAAAATATATTAAAAAGATAAGAATTTCAAATAACAAGAATCATATTCTTCGCTGTAATTGGAGAGGCGAAATGACACAGGGGGCTAGGAGAACCCCGCCTCCGGGAAGTCAGTCAGCCGATGTATGTTCACTCGATGAAAGCAAGAATGAGAATGGTGAGGTGGAATGTCTGCATAATATACGTGACTGGAAAGGCTGTCCAGGTAGCCAAAGAGATGCGAAAATATGGCATAGAAGTGCTAAGTATCCCGAGAGCAGATGGAGTGGATGCCAATTGTCAAAATTGTCAACTGAAGAGTCAGTAAAATCTACTCCGGTCTGATCACCAAGACGACAAACACAAGCACACCAAGGAGAAACAAACAAAACAATGGGCTGATCACTTCAAAGGATTCTTTAATCAGCCATCACATGCAACTCACCCACAAATACACCACACACAACTGCCTGCCAGAGGACACCAATCCTCCAACGAAAGTGAAATACTAGATGCGATCAAGCTACTGAAGGCCGGCTGGAAAGGCAGCGGGACCAGACGGAATTCCCCCTTCCCCCACCACTGAAAACGGACCCAGAGACTGAGGCAGACGTGCTCACGCCGTCATTGCAAAAGGTTTGGAAAGAACGAAGGAAAGCTACCTACCGATTGGAAGAAAGGATAGCTACCTCGTCAAGCTGCAAGAGAAGGGAGACTTACGCCTCACTCTGCAAGAACTTGCGTGGAATTATGCTCTTGTCCACGCCAAGTAAAATACTAAGTCGCACCATCCTGGGGAGAATAAAGGATGCACTGGATACGGAACTCCGCCCCACCGACCCGAACAAGCTGGATTTGGGAAAGATAAATCATGCACTGATCAAATTGCATCTCTACACATCGTCATCCTAGAACATAGCGTAGAATGGCATTCAAACCACTCTCTACCTCAACTTCATCGACTTCAGAAAGGCCTCCACGGACAGCGTTGACCGAGAAGTAATTTGGAAACTACTTCAACACTATAGCGTGCAGTGGCCAAGTCTTTATCAGCCTCATTCACCAGCTGGCTGGCTATATGACAGTGCCACGTGCCAGGTGATCCACAACGGAAAACTCAGTGAGGCGTTCAAAGTGCATACAGGAGTAAGACAAGCTGGATGGCTGGCTCTGGCTGCCTATTATTCTTAATTGTGGTGGACTGGATTATGCGTCAGACTGTACGTTGGGAGTGAGAAGACAGGAATACGCTGGACCACCCGATAAGACTCTCGAAGATCTGGATTTCGCGCATGGATGATATATGTCTAATGTCACACAGACTCGAAGACTCAGAGGAAGGCGAAAACTGGCTGAAGAAGCAGGCAGGTAGGCAGCGAAGACAGGACTCCATGGGAACACAGGGAAGACAGAGGTGGTGAAGATAACCAACCAACGATCAGCAACAACAACAACAACAACCAGCATCAATCACCGTTAACGGGGAGATCTATCAGAGGTTACTTCCTGACTTCACTTATCCAGGAAGCATAGTTTCAGTTACAGGCAGTCAGAACGGATGAAGACGTCAAAGCCAACCAGTCAGAATCGGAGAGGCGAGATACGCTTTCATTAGCCTGAAACCAGTTTGAAAATCTCCTACATTCAGCATAAGGAATAAGATTCGCATTTTCAACACCGATGTCAAATCGGTCCTTCTATTCAGGTCAGAAACTTGCACTGTGTGCAGCGAAAAGGATTTCCAACAGGTTGCAGATTTTCACCAACAGCTGCCCCCTTCGTTCCATACTGAATATCAAATGGCCAGAAAGAATAAGTAACACGAAACTGTGGGAACAAACCAACCAAGAGCCGATTGCACAACAAATTTGTAGGAGAAAACGAGAAAAATTAACCTACAAAGTTTAATAACCTAAAAATCAACTCGACCATTACGATCCACTCACAATAGAGTGTGATGAGATTAAGTACTAAAACCAATATACTTATATGGAGAGAGAGGTAAACCACAGAATCTTTGTTCATTGAATCCATACTGAACACATGTAGTCAAAATGATGCAACGCCTATACTGTATGTATGGAAAATAACAATAAAAAACAGGTGGGGATTTAATTGGTGAATGGTGACTAGCAGTGGAATCCAGGATGTGCATTTCGTCCCATTTGAAACTCTTCATCTGGATATACTGCATTTCCCAGTAACTGATGATGTTCCCTCTGAGACTGGAACCCATTGACAATAGTTTCAAACGCCAACGCATTATCCACTAGTCCACTTGGGCCACGAGAGCCACCTCTTGTGCAACGGGTCATATTAGGTGTCCAGATATCGTCGAAGCATATGCACAAGAAGCTGATATGTCAACCTGAGATCGAGCACTTTGGTTCAATCAATCAGCGAGGTTTAAAATTCAATTAAACAAGGGGGGAGAAGAAAATAAAGCTAATAACGAAGCCATCTGACTAAATTGATATGCAAGTGTTGGTTAGTAGGGATTTGATTGGTTACAGGATTTCATCATGAGCTGACATTAGTTAGTGAACTATTGGAAAACCTGGAGGTACTGGACAACTGTTTCGTCAGTTTAGTTTGGGACTCTTCAGCAGTGCCCACCCACACTACAGGGTTAGAACCAAGGACCTTCTGGTTACAAGGTGAGCTGGTATACCTTTAAGCCACTGGGACCCGATCCAATGGCCCATGAATTATAACTTCTGCCAATTCACGAAATAGCGCAACCGCTAGCCAATGTCTTCGGCGAGTATTTGTCCTCACACCCGACCTGCTCTACCCTACTGGTCACGACTTCTCACCAGAACCCCAGGTAACTACCTACCAGAATAGGGAAAGTCGCCAGTGAGCATCTCATTGATACTCAAGTGTTGGTTTGTAGGGATTTAATTGGTTACAGGATTTCATCATGAACTGACATTAGTTAGAGAACCATTGGAACACCTGGGATTGAATCGGGTCCCAGTAGCTTAATTGTATACGAGCTCGCCTTGTAGCCAGAAGGTCCTGGGTTCGAACTCTGGTGTTTGCGTATCGCCGAAGCGTCCCTAACTTGGCTGACGAAACAGCTGTCCAGTACTCCCAGGTTTTCCAATGGTTCACTAACTAATGTCAGTTCATGATGAAATCCTGTAAACTGATATGAATATGAGCAATAAACTGTGCTCGAAATGTCATCCAGTCATCATTACTGTATCAGTGTGCATTGTATCAAATTAACTTATCTAATAATGAATCATCTTTTCTCACAATGCCCAAATTATGCACTTACATAAATTTTCTGCGAAACGTAGCAGTAGGACTATACGGAGTGGAATGAATGAAATCCTTGTTGACATTGTCCATTCTATCTCATCAAATTCCTTTTTCAAAGTGATCTACAGCATGAAAAACAACCTTTTTCGAAGCTTTAGCCATTCAGAAAGAGAAACCGGAGCTCTGCATACAAAACAGAATTCTTCAATCACTTCCACTACCATGGTAATGACCTTTATAAAAATAACCAAAGATTTGTTCTATCCTTTCAAACTACTATGGAATAAAAATATTAAATTTTCAGTCATTTCTTTGTCCATCCCGATTACAACTCATTCACTTAACCGTTTATTTTATTAGACAACTCCAAAACCCTTCTGTTCCTATCTCGTTTTGTGGAAACAAATCGTACATAAAGGCGAGTGTGTATATATATATATATATATATATACTCAACAGAATCAACCTTATTCGTTTCAGTCACTTTTGATTCTCCTCTTCAACAACTGATGATTGAACTGAAGTGTTCGGAGGCTTGAACGATGTCTAAGCATATTAACCCTGAAGTAATTTAGTTATGATTAAGCAAACACAAACAAAAGATCTGAAAGAAGGAGGAGGCTACACAACCAGCTAATTCCAGGCGATAATTAAAGAAGACAATAGACATTCGCGTTTTTCTTTCAGTCAAAATTTATTTTCAACATTCACTTCCTGACAGTTAACAAACAAATAAAACAAGAAAAAAAACAGAGAGACATTGAGTGGAAAAATAGCAGTACAGAATAGAGCGTACAATGATAGAGAAGTGTATGAGGTAAGGTAAAATGGGTGTCTGCAACGGAAAAAACTTAAATATATATATATATAATATATATTGGTCATGAGATGTAATCAGCTAGACAAAGTTTTCATTACTAAGATTCAAATCGGAAATTTCAATTGTCAATAAGACTATTGCTGTAATTGCTGTTTTTACCAGAAATGAGAAAGAGTCGAGAATTTCTAGGTAGGTAATACACGCAAATCAGTTGAACACAGAGTGAAGAGTGTTGTTTTGCTTACCACTCAACAATATTTTTGCTTATTTTTCACGGAGAGAGAAAAAATCAAATCTTGCAGTATTCTCATTATTCTTATTTTTAAGATATTTGATATCATATACAGTGCATATAAACATATATATGTATATATATGTTCTTTTAAATGAAGGGTTCGATGAAATTATACTTTTTAATCTCTTTTTGAGTTAGAAAAATAGATGTCATTGATTAATTAAGTAGTAGTAGTAATAGCAATAATAGTAGAATAGTGTGTTTTTGCTAATAAAATGAATATGACACAAAAATACTGTAATAAATGAAGGTAGGTTTACTGAGGCTGGAGCTGGCGCTGACGCTGTTGACAATTGGCTGCCAGACAGATCTTGTGTTCTCGTTGTTTTTTATTGTTTTTCTCCTGTTTTTTTTTCTTAATGACAAATTGTAGTATGTGAAGAGATGACAAATACTCGAATGTGTTTAATGTTTTGTTATAAAAAAGAAAATTAACAGACTAGAAATCACGATCAACTTTCTCTTGAATAATCAACTCCCATTCTTTCCAAGCATTCAGTAATTCTTTACTTAAACTATGAAATCTTTCATCCCAATTCACTTGACAGCCTAATTCCACAGCAATATCGTATAAAGCACGTTCAGCAAAATAGCCTAATGGTCTATTTTTCATAGCATGTTCTTGTATTTGTCTAATCATTGCAGCATATGAACGTGAACATCGATCAGCGTCTAGTGTACGAAAATCACCTTGCCCATGATGATGATGATGTGGGTGGTAGTGATGCGAACGACACGATTGACTTCTTGAGGATAAGTCTGTAAGTGAAGTGTTTGAATTTAGTGCACTGCTACCACTACTACTTGCAATACTTTGTTTATGATCAATCATATTCTTACCATTTTCATCCAGCGCTGACCGTATCAGTTTACATGAAGTCAGTGTTTTGACTAAGTCGAGTAAATTTTGAACAGAATTTTTAAACACATACAATTCATTCCATATGAAATAGTCAACATCTGAAGTGTTCGGTTGGAATTCCGCCTTCCATTCACAAATATCACTCATCCAACAAACTATATAATCCATTAATTCAGGTGACCAATTCTGTCCATTGGCTTGGTCTAATTGCAATTCTAACAGGCGTATTTGAAAATCCATTAATTGACACTTGGCTACATCTTCATCATTATTACCATGATCTGATAATATGAGTTTATGCGCTTTCCATAATAATAAATCGCATAAATAGGCCAAGTGTAATTTCTTCTCTAGTAAACATGACAATTGAACTAATTTTCTTTCTGTATTCCCATTAGTAGTAGGATCATTGGTAGCAGGAATGTTATTACTATTATTATTATTATTGTTATTATTCACCTTTAGGGATTTACACAATGTTCTCAATCGATCTGTTGTAATTGTACTCGAGTTTAAATCCCCATAAAGAATGCCTTGATGAACAGTTTGTAATTTATTCCAGGCAATTTCACCTTGTGGAGTTTCAGATAATGCATAATTCTTTTTAATTAATTGATCACGATGTGAATATAATAACTCAGTTGTCTCTCTTAACTGTTGATGTACATTTAACCATGTTGAACGTGTTACTGACATTTTACCGATTGAATTAATCAATTCAGTTGCCCATTTATATGTAGAACTACCACGTTCAATATATTCAGAGATAAGCCATGATAATTGTCCAGTAAGACTGAGTAAATTAAATGGTAATGTTGGTGTTGATTTTGTACTTCCATCGCAATGCGGTAGACCACTTGATGACATCATAGATGATGAGGATACTTTACGTCCTTGTTGACATAAACCACTTGGTACTGTTGCATGTGCTCTAAGCATATCATTACGATTATGCGCTAAAGGATTTAATGGAGGCGGTACATTGATCGAAGTCTTTTTGCCACCCGGAACTACTCCACTATTTAATGCTGCTGTTGATGATTTCTTATGACGTATAAGACGTAAATTCTGTTTCAATCTCACACCTTCTGTTTTACGTATTTGTTTGGATAAGTTTAAAACATACTCAGGTGTTGGACCTTCATCATCACTATCACTTGTTGAACAATCAGTACTTATCTGTACACTACTCATTTCCCATAGGATTTCTGTATCATCAAGAATTTCATCTTTATCACTTTCATCACCTTCACCGTCTACATTATCACCATCATCATCGTCTTCAGGATAACTTAAAGTGAATGTGGCCAATTTCTCTTCACCACCATTAATACCATTCTCGCTTTTATGCTTTTTCTTTCTTGAACGTAATAAAAGTAGGGGATTTTTTAAAAATGTAGGCATTATATCATCAGCTTCATTGATTGCTAAACCTTGTTTACGTCGCATACGTTTCAGACTATTGACTAAAAAGTTGATAGCACTTTTATCTGAAGCTAGGACAGCAGTAGCCGAAAGATTAATCAGTGTAGTTACACGGGCATTTGTTGTATCAATACGACGTAATAGACGATCAAAGTTAATAGCTGTTCTACTCAATGAACACGGCTCATATATTGTTTGTATATAACATTCAGTTTCATGATCTTTACTGCATTCATTATCTAAACCCATTTCTTCCGGTGAATGCATTAATTTATGCACTAAATCTAATTCTGCTTGCATTTGTTCACTTTGTCTATGCAGTAATTCATCTGATTGACTTTTGTTTAATTTTCCGTTGACAGACGATTTCGACGAATCATCAACTATGATGCAGGAGTATAAAAGAGATGATTCATTCATATTTTTTTTGAATAATTAATAAACTATTAAATAAATAATAATCATAACAAATAATTGTGCCGCGAAGACATGACGTTGTACATTTAATCATTACAATTCAAATGTGTATATGCTATTAGGAGTGTTTAAAAGCCATTTGTAGGCACTAATTTCAATTAGTCAACGCTTTACTCGAGATTTAAGTGACTATAGTCATGCTTTTACGAGTTGATCACGGATTGACATCAGTTAGAGAATCATTGAAAACCAATTAGGGAGTATTGGACAGCTGCTGTTTCATCCTAGTTTGGGAATCGTCGGCAGTACGCACCCACTGGGATTCGACCCCAGGACATCCCGGTTACAAGGCAAGTTCGTATACCATTTAGCCACTGGAACCTGATTCAATGGCCCATGAATTCTAACTTCTACCAATTCGTGATTTAGCGCGACCCCAACCATTGTCGTTGGTGGGACATCCATCCACACACGTGACATCTAAATGGACCTCACTGGTGACGACTTCTTACTAGAACTCCAGGAACCTTCATCCTGACTATAGTCAACCTGAAAGAATACACTGTCATTCCAAAGTCTGACAAAGGAAACTCCACAGTAGTTTTGGATAAATCTGACTTATCAAGAAAGTCACTGAACATATTCAGACGAGTCGGTCCATATGAGGAAATTCAGAAGCCTGTAGGTACAATAATGAATAAGGTTAAGAAATCTAAAGCCGAATACGCAGAATGAAGCGGTCACTGAGTAAGTCTAAATAGTTTCATTTAATGCCTAAAACTAATAATGCTAGTAGAATGTATGGTACTATTAAAATACATAAACCAGGTTACCCCATACGACCAATAGTAGGTTTCAGAAAAACCCCTATTTATGAATTATGAAAACACTTAGCTCTAATATTAAGCCCCATTAAAAATCGTTCAAACTCTAGACTAACTAATTCATATGAGACGAAAAAGGAAAATAAATAACATTCAACTAGAGAATGATGAAACAATGGTTATTATTATTATTGCTCCCCTGGGTTCCTAGTGGAACATAGGGCTTCAACTGCACGTCTCCACTTGCTTCTGTCTTCTGCTGCTGTACTTTTCACCTGCATCCATCTTAGTCCATACTCTTTCAAATCCTCTTCATACGATCTCCTCCATGTCACCCCTGCACTGACGTCCCACTCGCCGACACTTCCCTTTCGGCCTGGTTCCACTCGAACAATGGCCTGACGCGCGATGTCACCCAGCAGCCTCCTCAGAAAGTGTCCAGTCTATGTCCACTTTCTCCTGCATATTTGTTGGTTGGCGATTGGTTCTTGTTTTGTTTGTTAGTGCCCATAGTTTCTTGTTGGTGATTCTCTCCGGCCAGGCCATCTCATCTTCAGTATAGATCCAGCGAAGACAGTTGTTGATAAAGGTCTACAACAGGCTGTTGTAAATATTCTTTGTGACCCGCCCGCCCGCCCGCCAAGTTTCTCATCCGTATAGAAGAACTGACTGACTTGACGTTTGTATTGAAAATCCTACCGAATTTTGTTGTTGATGGTGGCTGAGTGACGAAGATTTCCAGATTGATTTCAGGTTGATGAGTGAATGTGTTTCTCGCCTTCCCGATTCTCGCTCGATTTGATATTCTCGTCCATTCCGACTGCCTGTAGTTGAGACAATGCTCCCTAGATAAGTGAGTGAATGAAGTGACCTCTTTCGAATCCCTCCCGTTGATGGTGATTGACGCTAGATGTTGCTGCTGTTGTTGTTGGTTGGTTGGTTATTTTCATAACCTCCGTCTTGTCTGTGTTCACCTGGAGTCCTGTCTTCGTTGGCTGCTTCTTCAACCAGTTTGTCGGTTTTCGCTCACTTGTAAGTTTTCGATTTTGTGTCACATCGAACATATATCATCCACGCACGAAATCCACGTCTTCTAGGTTCTTCACGTCGGCCGGTCCAGGATATCCCTGTCCCGTTTCTAGTTTCCCACTCACTGTCTGACGCATAATCCAGTCAGTCCACCACAATTAGGAATATCATTCATTGGTGATAATAAGCCAGCACCCTTGTCTGACTCGTGTGTTTACTCCAAATGCCTCGCTGAGTGAGTTTTCCGTTGTGGATGACTTGACATGTGCCGTTGTTGTACAGCTAGCTGTTGAATAAGGTTGATGAATATTTGGGGTACGCCGTAGTGTGGTGAGAGCAGGCTGCTAGCCAACTGGTAGACATTAATCTACGTCAATGTTTACGTCACTAATATTGGCCGTGAGAAAATATGAACAAGGTTGATTCAACAACAAATCACGGCAAACTTAACGTGGGCAAATATGATTCGCAGATAGATGGCTCCACTTTTTGATGGTTACCCGAAACAACCAATCAGAAGCCTACCTTTGTCTGCTTAACTTCCGAGAAACAACCAGTCAGAAGACTGCGTTTGTCTACTTGAATAAGCTATAATAATGTACAGGAAATATATGTAAATACGTGTTGATTTCCGTAATAAAACGATCTGTTGCCGGCCTTTGTCTTCCCTTGTTACAGTAGTACTCGAGTAGTTTCCAAATTACTTCACGATCAACGCTGTCGAAGGCCTTCTCAAAGTCTATGAAGTTGAGGTAGAGGTTTGATTGCCATTCCATGCTTCGTTCTGTGTTGATGATGCGTAGAGTTGCAATTTGGTCAGAACATGATTCGTATTTCTTAAATCCAGCTTGTTCTGGTCGGAGTTCTGCATCCACTGCATCCTTTATTCTCGCCAGGATGATGCGACTCAGGATTCTACTTGGCGTCGACAGGAGCATGATTCCTCGCCAGTTCTTGCAGAGTGGGGCCTAAGTCGCCCTTCTTTGGTAGTTTCACGAGGTAACCTTTCCTCCAGTCAGTAGGCACCTTTCCAGACCTTTTGCAATAATGGAGTCAGCATGTCTTCTGTCGTCTCTGGGTCTACTTTCGGTGAGTGCTTCAGGGGGTATTCCATCTGGTCCAGCTGCTTTTCCAGCTTTCAGAAACTTGATTGCATTCAAGACTTCAACTTTCGTTGGAGGATTGGTGTCAACTTGCAGTTGTGTGCGCGCTGTTGTTGGTATTTCTGGACGGGTTGCAGGTGATGGTCGGTTCAAGAGTCCTTTGAAGTGATCCGCCCATTGTTTAATCTGTCTTTCTTCCTTGGCGAATGGGTTCCCTTGGCTGTCTTTTATAGGTTTTGCTTGTGTTGATCTCTTCCCGGATAGAGATTTGGTTATCTGATATAATGTCCTCAGGTCTCTTTTGCCTGCTGCCCTCTCAGCTTCAGTGGTGAGATTGTCGTAAAATCGTCTTTTGTCCTTCCTAGCACTCTTCTTCACTTCTTTGTCCAGTGCTTTGTAAGTTGAGCTCAGCGTCTCCTTCTCCTCTCCGTCCTTGCATTGAATCATTTTCTCTTTCATCATTCTCCTCTCTTCTTTTAGTTTCCAACTACTAATTCATATGAGATGAAAAAGGAAACTAAATAACATTTAACTAGAGAATGATGAAACAATGGTTAGTTTTGATATAATTAGTCTTTATACTAATATACCAATCAATATGGCCTTAGAAGCAGTTAAAAAAGAACTAACTACAGATCCTGAACTCACTCATAGTACAAAGCTGCCCATTGAAGAAATCATTTTAGGAATTCAGTTATGCCTCATTTCTACTATCTTTAAACTCCAAGGCAAAATATACAGACAAACAGGTGTAGCAATGGGATCACCAATATCCCCTATTGTAGCAGGCATATTTATGGGTAGCTGGGAAAGTAGTGCTCTTAATACATCTAATTCTGCTCCAAAAATATGGTGGAGATATGTGGATGACACTTTCACAGTGTTAAAAACAGAGCATATCTCTAGCTTCTTGACATATATAAACTCATCAGTAGAGGGAATAAAATTCAAAATTGAATCGGAAAATCAACAAGGAGAATTAGCTATGTTAGATTGTAAAATAAAACGAATAGAAGAAGGTAAACTACACACCAGTGTGTACAGAAAACCAACTCATTCTAATAGATACTTAGACTTTAATTCATCTTATCTGTTAACTGTTAGGGCAGGCTTAGTTAAGTGTCTAACAAACCGAGCAGTAGCACTAAGTAGCACAAGAAAAGACCTAAATGATGAAATGAAACAGATAGGAGAACCATTTGTGTTAAATAAATATCCCATAAAATTCATTAGGAAGATCGAAAAAGGCCAAAAGCAAATTAAAAATATTAGACCAAGACATATAATCGAACAATATTGTTTTCAATTAGATCTTCTTCAGGCTTTACTCTAATTTTCATAGATTTATATTTAAAATGTTTCACCAATGACAGTGATTTGTGGATCAAATAATAGTAATAATGTCGTAAATGTTTTGAAAGTAATTAATAACGATAATTATAATGATAACAAAATATTGATAATAAGGTTATTGCATTTATATATATATATATATATATATATATATATATATAATATATATATATATATATATATAAATGTAAATTAGGATAAAGCCTGAAGATCTAAGGGAAAACAATATTGTTCGCTTATATGTCTTGTTCTAAAATTAAAAATAATTGTGAAACTAGTAATGATAACATAAATAAGAGAAAATATCAGTCATCTACTGCTAAAGCATATAAGGAGAGGACATCTGGGGCCCTAGGTAAGATTCTTAATAAGGCAGGAATTACGGTGGCATTCAAACCTACAAACTCACTCAGAGACAAGCTCTGTAGGCTAAAAGACCCAGTGGACCAAGTTAAACAAAATAATATAATTTACAAAATACCCTGCAATGACTGTCAGTTAGGTCAACTATATAGGTCAAACTAGTAGATCTGAGTTAATCAGATTGTCGGAACATAAGAATTTAGATAAGGTAAGAATGGTTGACCCCGAGAAGATGAGTAATTTATAAAAAATCTCAGCAATTGCAGAAAAATGACGTGAAAATTACCAAAAGCATTTCCAACATGTGACTGCATTAGACTTTTGTCAACAGCTACCGCTTTCAGTGGCGAGCCAAAAAGAGTTTGCAGCAATAAACTCTGCCAAACAACCAACAAAGAACCGTTCGCCCAACAAATATGCATAAGTAAATGCAGATGGCTCAGACAAACGCTGAGAAGACCGTTGGAAGGATATGACGCTCAGGACCGTCGCCTGACTGGAATCTGAATGAGAAGTGAAACCACTTTGGTGTATGTCCGAGAGTGGAATGGAGGAGACTGAGTGAGGTAAAGATGACAGTCTATGGACAATCGTAGGACTAGCTGAAGAGAACAGACTGGAATGTAGTTATGCTGTTGAAGATGTTTGTTCCAGATGGAATCTAAAGGAATAATAATACTCTGGAGAATGCTGTTCTAACTTCATACTTACACACACACACACACCAATATAAACCACTTCTCCGTTATTCCCCAATGATCTAGCATTCTTCTCATATTGAAATTTTCAAAGTTCATCCTCCACTGTCATACTATAGTAAGATATTCAAGTTCAGGGCATAGTTAGTATGTCTGTCCTTCTCTTTTGCACTCTATCTCATGAGTAGAACAAATTCAGGACATTATACAGTCATTTAATAGGTGATACATGAAATGGAAACAGAGAGAGAGATTTGCTATAAGGAATAATTGTACTTCTCATATCGATTTATTCGTAGTAGTCTCAATGCTGTACCTATAGTACATATACATATCGTAGCAATATGAATGACATATATATATATATACTTGTGTATATCTATACTTACATTTACCAATCAGCTTCCGAAGAGAGAATTTTTTCTTCTCTTTCATTTTCTAAAATGAAATATAATCAAAATAAATAAGTAAATAAATAAACACATACAATGAGGAATGTATAAATTTACAAACGAAAAACAATCAATAAGAAGAACATAGTAAAATAGTATTTTCAAAAAATAAAAAAGCATTAGAGGTTGTTGTTGTTGTTGTCCTACCTCAACTTATTTTTATAACCAGGCTACATTGTGAGAAACGGTGGTGAGGGAGTGAGGAGGGAGCCGGAAGGCAAGGGGAATGAGAACGAAAGGGAGGAGATGGGAAAAATCAAAAGCTATGTAGGTAAACAAACACACAACACACTACGCCACATCCCATCTCAACCCATCCGATCACGAGGATAGGACTTTTATCGGTCCACTCTATGCAATTTTTGTTTTATAGTCGACTGAGAAAAGTTTTAGTGATATGGGTAACAATGATAAACACAATAGTAATAATAATAGTCGTAGTAGTAGTATATCCAAGAGCATATTAAAATTTTTCGAAAAACTTGCCTACATGTACAAGCATATCAATATTTGAGTATTGGTTTGTAGGGATTTGGTTGGTTGGTTACATGATTTCATCATGAGCTGACATTAGTTAGTGAACTATTGGAAAACCTGGAGGTACTGGACAACTGTTTCGTCAGTTTAGTTTGGGACTCTTCAGCAGTACGCACCCCCCCCGACAGGGTTCGAACCCAGGACCTTCTGGTTACAAACCGAGCTGGTATACCTTTAAACCACTGGGACCCGATCCAATGGTCCTTGAATTCTAACTTCTGCCATTTCACAACATAGCGCAACCGCTAGCCAATGTCTTCGGCGAGTATTTGTCCTCACACCCGACCTGCTCTACCCTACTGGTCACGAAACAGCTGTCCAGTACTCCCAGGTTTTCCAATGGTTCTCTAACTAATTTCAGCTCATGATGAAATCATATAACCATATCAATATTTATTTACACAGTACACTTGGTTAAATGATATTAGCCAGGCTTAATTATCTACAGAAGTGTACAAGTTTATCACGCTTTATAACTAACCGTACTCACAATTTAGCTATAATCTCTTCTCTTTAAAAAATAATAATAATGAAAGACTATTAACTTTATTATGATGATTCTTTGTTAGTTTATTTTCAATTCATGGGAGAATTTGTTGTGGCGATTATTTTGTTTTTAAATTACAAAAACGCGAGTTAATTATTATACAAGGTATTCTAGGAATTTTACGTCAAAAAACGATTAGGGCATAGATGTTAGTTTTTTCTTCTTTTTTTTTGCTAATTGGCGTTACAATTAATCACATGAATCCAGTCAAGATCTAAATTTACGTTTGTTTTCTTCTTAAGCGTAAATAAAATATCATATGGAAATATACGTGTAATTAGAAGTATGCATTTATTTATAATATTAATGTAGTAGATATTAAGGGAGAAGATTTGTAGCTCAGATGGACGATTTTAATGTAGTGTTGTGTTCCCTGAGCTAGATGGTTTACTTGCAAAGCTTTCACCAATGTCCTACTGGGCAACATCCACAGCGCATACTTCAATTTGAAGTGAGCTTTTAAATTCCTCCACGAGTTTACAAGTCACCGCTTCTAGTCAGCTTGATTGTGATTGGTTGTTTTTGTGGGGTTTTTTTTTTGTGGTTTTTAGGAAGACGTCCATAAGATATTATTTTAACTTTCCTGATGGTAGGAGTGTAAAAAAATAGACGTCCACGAAAGTTCATTAAAAGACATTTGCCCTTAACCCAGATAACTAAATCAGAAGCCCCCAAAGAAAATCATCTTACCATATACAGAGAACGTCTCAGAAACCACTACAAGACTTTTTAAACCTTTAGGAATTGATGTCGCACACAAACCAACAAGATCACTTCACTCGGCTGGCTCTATTTTAACCAAAAGACTCAACAGCGAAAGAATATAAAAAACCAACATTATCTACAAAATTGCAACTGCCAAAAACACTACCACCGATTGAAGTGGACGCCCTCTTAGTCTTTGCATCCATAAGCATAAACTGACCCGGTATCCACTCCTCACATCATTACATACTGAAAACCCTAGACACCGGTTTGATTGGGGCAACATTCAAATATTGGACAGAGGAAATACCAAAATCGCCAAAGAATTTTTAGAAGCCTGGTAATGAAGTGGTTGTGCGTCGATGCCACAGCGGTCAACATGCTCGCCGACCATCCAGATGGTCCGGGGTTTGATGCCGGCCGACTCACTCCTTTACCTCACTTATCCAGTAAAAAGATTGGTAAAGAAGGAAGGTTGGGCATGAAGCTAGCAACCTCATCCTGTAAAAATAAACACCACTGCTACAGAAACTTCAAGCCACTAGCTTGAAGCCCCATATTACACTGGGAAATAAATAAAAATAAAAAATGAATGTGGTTGTGAAATGAAACCACAGGCCATGAACATATTGACACAGACAACATTTACCACATTATCATATAAATAAAGACTTCCACTTTAGGTGAAAGAAACAATCCCTACCAATACAAGTAGACCACAGGGTGAGAAAACACACGAAAAACTCAGTCACGTTGTAAGTAACCAGGAGAGATGACAAATAAACTCGTGGTGAAATTCACTTCAAACTCGCTTCAAATTAAAGTATGCGCTGAGGATGTTGCCCGGTAAAACAATGAAAACTTTTCTGCAAGTAAACCATATCTAGCTCAGACAACACAATTTCATCAAAAAAGCAGTATTAATATATCACTACCTAGAAGTAAAATAATGTCAATATTTGATTTCACTGTAGTTATCGTCACTGAAGAATATCAGTTAATGGAATCCGCTGAAAACCAGAAAGCACTAGATAGATATTTCGTCCAACTTTGCGACTTTTAGTGGAGGTTGAACCCAGTACCTGCAGATTAAAAAGTGACCGCCATCTCATTAGAGAACTTTAAATATCCATCCTTATTGCCATTAGTGAATAGGCGAATGATATACAAATGTCGACTTCAAAATGGAATTCGCAGTTGGTGGGGTGAATTACAGATGCTGGGACCGGTTAGCCGTGGCGCTATATGCCGAAGTGTCTGTGGGCTTAAATATCAATTAAATTATTAAAATTTCTGCTTAGAATATTTGAAAGTTCATATTATTTCTTTGTGTTAACAAAACTTGAATAATGTGAGGACATTCAGTAGAGTAGAATAATTACAAGTTATTATAAGATATTCCATCTACATTATGTTTATTGAGTCTCCAGCAATAGTGAACGCGTGATAATTTCCAGGAGATTTTCTCTGATTGGAACTGGCGATTTCAAGAAGATATAAGAATAAAACTTGTGCACTGTGGTAGAGTATAATTCCATCATCAGTAAATATTACTGTAGAACACTATGAGACTTTATCAAAATAAATTTTACACATAATGTAATTTCAAGATGACTCAAATATTAATACTGAAACTGTGTATTAACATACGATTGAGTGAGAAGCAGTGTAAACAGAAATTTATAATTAGTCATACAAAAAAGTATCATGGAATAATTATATATGCTGCGAAATTGGGCCGATTGGTTAGCGGCAATCAACCCGGTGAAATCTGATTGGCTGGTTATCTGATTAACGTGTAGAAAAAATCAATATCTGTATAACTCCATTATAAATAAGATTTTATTTTGATAAATCACACAGTGTCATACAGTAATATTAACTGATGACGTTTCGAGCACAAAATATTATTGCTCGTAATCATATCAAGGCAATCACAAAACTTCTTACTTCATTTATATACATGCGACTGATCCTTGCTATCATTAACATATTGTCGTCACCATTCCTATTAAATTATTTATTTTTACGTTAATATACTATCGGCATTACTAATACTGTAATTATCACAAGGTCCTTTAGTTATCCCCCCCCCTGCATCTTTTCTGTGTAGTGCGAAGAGAATATTAGATGACATATTGTACTAAATGATGCGAATTCCACACTGTATCAAAAATATCATTTTGAATAAAGTTATTATTACAGTCAAAAAATGCACAAAACCGGTCTAACAGCCCCCTCTCCCCCTTACCATTCCTCCAATCAATCATCTAATATATATATCACGGTCACTGTGCCATCAGTTAGCTGCTAAATGGCTTTCTGAAATTTTCGCAGCCTGTAAACAGACGATTGTGCCGGTAATCTCTTTCAGGGGTTACGTATTTGGTCGTCATTTAACACGTAGTACCATGAATTTAAAGGTTAGTAGCTTGTAATTAAACTGGTCAATAAATCAATATTACAGTACGAAAAAAACAAGGACTCATAACAATACAGAATAATAAAATGATATTAATTTTTTGGATTCGTCTTTTGTTTATTAGATGAGTTTTAATTTTCATATAAATATATATATATATATATATATATATTAATGTTCACACTGAATTTTATTTAATCCGGGAAATGGGCTAAAAGGTTAAATGCAAGTGTGTGTGTGTGTACGTTTGTAACTGACAAATGGGGATAAATAAAGAAAATGAGAGGTTATTAATTTATTTATTTACTATAGTCAATTTTGATTTCTCATTGACTGACTCGACCAAAATGTTCCACCTTTGTTAACATATCCGCGCCTAGTACGGGCGCTTCAACGATGTCCGAGTATTAAAATGATGTAATTTTGGTGGATAATGACCAGCAGTGAACTCTAGGATGCACATTTAATCCTAATGGATACCGTTTAGGCGTTTGAAACGGTGACTACTACTTGGATTTCAGTCTCAGTGGGGACGTCATCACTCACTGGGGAATATAGGCGTACACATCTGATAAGCCCTAACTAAGATGAAATGTGCATAGTGGATTTCACTGCGAATCCCCATCCACCAAGATAAAATGTTTTTTTGCATTTATGTAATAATAAATAAGGAATAGAGGCAGTTTACAACATACCGGTCGGGTGGTCG